TAAAACCAAATATCTATTTGGAAAATTGTCTTCTAGAAATTGAAATTTGCATACTTGTTGCAAGTTAATCATGCGGAAATTTGGAATTGGAGAATTAGGGCTGCCCCAGTAACAGTAATTTTCCTTTTCAGGGCATGATATGTTTATGTCCATCTGGCTGAGTTTTTCATCTATCTTTTTTTTCCAAAGAAGATGGACTTTCATGATGAATGTTTTCTGGGGACAATGGAGTTGACCACAGAGGACTTGAAGACAGTTGTACTTTACTCCAACTTATTCTTCAGTACTATTTAGGCAAACTAAAGTATACAGAAGAAAGAAAAATAAAGACAAAGATAGTAAATGATGGAAACAGTGTATTCAGAAATATACCCTTCTCCTTCAAGACCAGACTAGTTTAAATGGCCAATTATCCTTTGTTTTCAGTGCAAGAAACCCTTTTTGATTCTCTTTGGGATGTGCAGGATAATGGATGGTAAGGCAACAACACTGCTGCTTATTCCTTTACACTCAGGCAGCACTCATATTGTTCTCATTGTTAAAGAAAGGAAAATCAACTATGTCGTACTTGAAATCTAATCCCCTTAGTTTATACCTGTAATAGTTCTTTAATAAATGAAGGAGGTGCTTTTACCACTCACTGTTACATTCCAAAATGCATATATACTCAGATGAATTTTTCTTACGTGTACATGCTTATCCATTTGGCTACTAGTAAAACCAGCAAATGGTGTTTTGACAACAGCAGCAGCTGGAGTGTTTTTTTTCCCTTAGCTGTTATGATGGCTTTAACTGTGGTACCTTGGAAACTCAATGTGAAGTTAATTTCTGTTGTTCCAGACATGTTATGGACTAGTAATAAGAAAAAAGCAGATTCTCACCACCTTTGTTCTCTTGCAGTCTACTTTTGAGGCTGAATCCAATGAATAGATAAAGCAGACATATGGGTTTGGGAAGACAAAAGTGTAAACCAGCTGCATAAATTAAAATCAAAGAACTCAGTTCACTGATCCTGCTGTCATGTTACTTTCCTTGTCTCTAGTGGATATTAGTAATGTATTTTCCATTGCTGTTGGAAAAAAAAAAAAAAAAAAAAATTGACACTATAACAGACATCAACTAGTCTTTATCTAATATTCTGGCTTGTATTACTAATGGTAATCAGAAAGTATGTTCTCATTAACAATGTGCTTCATTTATGTTTCCTGACACACATACATGTAGGTAGTGCATAAATGATTACAAAAAAGCTACAAGTTTTGTAAAGCAAACAGTAATTTTGTAGGTTCTATCTAAGATAAAAGTAAATTAAGATGTGGTTAATAAATACCAAGGGTTAAATGTTAAGTGTACACATAAATACTCTGAGATTTTTTTGTGCCGAGTAATTTATACCTCAGGAATCTTTAAAGATTTTTGAGTCAGTTATGGAAAGCCCAATACAGGCTACTTTTTACAGTGTCTGCAGTCAGACAAAATGGCACGATTCATGGAGAACACAAAGAGTTCAGTACATGAATGCATAATGCTGTTGTACAAATCAGTTTCACTTTACATCTGATAGACAGTAGCACTGAGCACAATATGTCTCAAGACTGGTACGGTAGTAATATAAGTAGATTTGAGGCAAATGATGAAGGTGATTAGGGCTATAAAGATTTTTATAAGAGAAGACTGAGAGCTTCAGATTCTGTATGCAGAATATAGATTGGAAGCTCTTATAATCCATCTCCTGTAAAAAGATTTAAGATTGCATCCAGTACCATCAAACAAAATAAATTCAAAACAGATAAATAAGTTAGTGATTTCTGTTGTGGTTTTTTTTTTGTTTGTTTGTTTGTTTGTTTTAACACGAAACATAATGGCATGAAAGACTTCAAGGTCATAAAGATTAAAATATAAGATGATTTGACACATTCTGCAAAGATTTATATAATGCATATGGACTTTCGTAGAAAAGTCAATAATTTTTAAAAGTTTAAAAAAAAATGGCTGACACAAACAAATACTTTTAATATAATGATTTATTGCATCTTCTTGTGATACATCTTGGCTGGCCAGCTTCAGAAATATTGAAAAAGTGTCAGGATATAGGGCCAAATGAACCAACCATTGGTATTATTTAGAATGACAGTTTCTCTTCCTATTGCAATCTGAATGAATTTGTTAGATTTTCTCTCTGCTCCATTTGTCAAGAAACAACATGAATGGCAGCTTTGATTTCCCTTCCTGCCCTTAGAAAGTAATTGTGATAGCTGTCTTTCAGAGATTCAAAGGGAGCAAACATTTTGAAGGATTTTTCACTCACATTTCATGCTTATAATCTATGAATAGATCTGGGACTATGGTAGATTTTTCATTGTATTCTGCTGCTTTGTACTTTTCTTGCATTTCAATACTTTGAAAGCTTTGGTAAGTGAAAGATGGTACATTTTACAATTGCAGAGACACTCAGCTAGAAATACAGGATCTCATTTATTTTAAAAACACCCATCCCTTGCAAATTATTCTTCTTCCAAGTGCCTCTGTGTGTTAACTGTGGAAAATCTTACCATAATATGATGTAATTCAAAAAGCTTCCATGAAATTTTGCTTAAAAAGATATTCTTTTACTAAGGTTGTCTTCTCCTAGTTACCAAATTTATAGAAAGTCAGGTTCCAAACTGCAAATGGTCTTGACTAGGATATTTGATTATAGGACTGCTGTCTGAATTTTGTAGCTACATTTTTTTCTCCACAAAGGACTAAAATCCTAAGTCCCTTTTGTATGAGTTGATAAGTTAGTAGGACATGTCTGTGATTAAAACTGCTAATAGTCAGAATTTCTGTTCTAAGAGAATATATAAGATAAAAAAATGCCACTCAGTATCAGAATTAAAAGAATAAAAACTGTTTTACTTTCCAGAAATAGAAATAAAATTAATTGCTAAGAAGTAATTGGAATCTGATTGAAACAGAAGCTATTTAGGGTATGAAGAGACGTTTGGTGATTATCTTGTCCAGGTTCCTACTGAAAGCAGATCGACTTAGAAGTGGTTATTCAGGCCTTTGTTCTATCTGTGCTATTTGTTGGTTATCACAACAGTTAATTTTTTTCATGATGTATTGAGCAGGAATTTCCTGTATCCTAGCTGGTACCTGTTGCTTCTTTTGCTTTTTACCTGAGCAGAAGCTCTTTTACTCAGCACCACCACTGCCTCTGAGTCCTGTCTCTGAACTCATTCTGTCCACCAACCCTACTGGCAGGTGGCTCTCATCCAAATGCCCACCTCCTACAGCCACCTCCAAACATGTGGGTCTCTACCAGGTGTGCTAGCACATGCTAACCATCATTGTTAGTCAGCGTTTTCCTCACAACTGGCCTTTAGGGATACTATAAACCCTTTTGCTGCAGCCAGTACCACCAATCCAGTCCTAAGTATGGTGCAGAGAGCATGGCTTTTTTGTCTTTCTCACCCTACTTGTTCTAAGGATGTTGTGGAAGACCACGTCATAGGCTGCATTCAGTCATGATAAAAAAAACAACGCTACTCATTCCTTGTTCACTAAACCAATCTTGTCTTTGTAGCTCTTAGGGCCAAATAAGTCCTGGCCTTGGCAAATCCATTCTGGCTATTCTCAGGCACCTTATTTTTTTTGTTCATCTTGAAGGTGGATGTGATATTTATCTTTTCCAGAAATCTTAGTTTTGGAAGCCCACAATACATTCTATGTCACTGTGAAGTCCTCCCACTTGACTTATGTAGGATCAAACCATAGATGCTGAGATCTGCCACAATGTGTCTACTTGATATAATTGAAATCTTCCATAGCAAAGCACATATAGTTTTTAATATAAGAAATTACAAGTTTACAGTCTGCCTGCTGGTTGTTAGATAGCAAAGACTTTGAGCTGTATTGTTCAATGGCCACTCAGTCAGCAATTCAACATCTCTTTTCTGTTTTTCCCCTTGTTTGTCCTACAGTACTCTCTTCTGGGATTAAATTTCTAGTAAACTAGGAGAAACTGTGCAAAACGAAGGACAGTTAATTTAAGGTTACTTGAAAGCTCTCTTAAAAATAGTTGTTAAAATGTAACATGGAAGTGCTGTCTTAAGAGACAAATCACAGGGGATTGTAAAATATGATATGTCTTTGAGCGCTATGATAAACGGACTGTACAGTTTTGTTACAGTGCAAATTTTTGTGGTGATAAATCTACTTGGGACAGCTATGCTCTAAGGAGGAAAAGAGGCTGAAGGCAGGTTCAGTCTGGCAAAGCTGGAGGAGCTGCTAATAGCCTGCACATACCTAAAAGGCATTACAGCCTAAAATAGAGGCCAAGTGATTGGTATGTCTCACAAGTATACAGTCGAGCACAACAGTAGACACAAAGTGCAACAAAATTAAATTCTTTGAGAGCATATCAGGAAAATTTGATTGGTGAGATGTCAGTAAACTGTGGGAAAACTCCCATGTGAATGTGACAGTCTATTGACTGGGACTGTGAAAATTGCTTTAACTAAAATATGAATAAATGTTATCAGTCCTCTATGAGCAGAGAAAGGGAATGCTTTTATGAGAATTTACCTTTCTAGAATCTATGTGTTGTAACATACTCTGTAGAGTTCTGTTGAAATCCCTGAGGAAGAGTTGCCACTGATTTCAATCGTTGCAGATCGTGACCTTGGTGCTAATAGAAACCATGTTTCTTGGTCATTTGTCTAGGAGCAAACATGACAGTGCACACAGAATGGATATACCAGTGCAAACACCACAGACAAATAGGTATCCAGTTCTCCTTTATTTGTGTACAGCGAGTACAGAGATATGACTGTAGGTTTATAGGCAGAGTTAACTAATTTTACTGAGATGGGGGAGATTTATACTGCTCCACCCAGTTGGATACTATAGATTTGTGTAGTTTTTCATTCCTATCAAAAAGTTGTGTTTTATATTTGAAAATACATGTAATGTAATTTGATTTTCTTCAGGTTTATTTTTTAATTTCTGTCTTGCAGATATCTCACTTATGGAGGCCTCACGTGTGTGTGGAACTAATCTCATTCTTGCACAGATTGTTGCCCTTCTGCTGAAGAGGTTTCACCACATTAGGCGAGACTGGAGAGGAACTCTATCAAATGTGCTTCTTCCAGTCCTCTTTGTTGCACTGGCAATGGCCTTGTTTAGTGTGAAGCCTCTGGCTGTTGATTATCCTTCTCTCAAGCTGACACCAAGACTTTACAAGAATGCAGAATCCTTCTTTAGGTAAAGAACTCACTGATCATCAATATCCAGGCTTCTGGAACCTTTATCCTTGAGTTCCCATATTTTTATGGGTATTTGTATTCTTCAAATAATGATAAATTCATTTGTGTTTTTTGCTTGTTCGTTAATTTTACAATAGCTGTTTATTTTTCAGTTGTTTATTACATTTTTTAGATTATTATGAGGGGGACTTATGAGAGAAACAAAAAAGTAGAAGGGCATTATATGAAGTATTTGCTGGAGGAAAGACACAAACTTTGGAATAGTTTGCGTTCAATACACACTGCATATATGTAAATGTTTAAGTGCATTTTAAAAAGTCTTTGCATGCTTCAGCGTACTTAATTGATTAGATCAGTATTTTTCTGAAAAAGTTCTCAGGTTAGACAGTACCACACAGTACTAAGGAAGTTTGTGCCCTTCTAGCTGAACCTCTAGTTTTTGTATTTTTAGCTTTGAAGCCATCTAAAGTATTATTTCTCTACAATATCTATAGCTTATAGTAGACTTACTCTGTATTACCTGTAAATCAGACAGAGTTTTATCTATTGGACAAATATCCAGATATATTAATAAGATAATATGATGATGTTGAATTTATAGATGAAACACAAAACACTTATAACATGTCTGTAATGAGAAGAATGCTTGTGGGGAGAAGTTTAGATTTGTTTAGGGGTAATTGCATTGAATTTTCTTTACAAGTTCAGATGTAGGTTTTGAAATTTCTTGTTTTGTATGTTTCTTATGCAGAGATTTGTTAGTTCTTTCATTTTGTAGAAAACATGTAGAACTGTGAAGCTGACAGTTACTAGAAGTAGACAAATTAACGTTTGTGTTTCTTTCCTCAATCCACCCCTTTACCATTTGGTCCACTTTGAACAGCTCTGGAGATGATAATCTAGGAAACCTTTCTGAGATTCTACTGAGATATTTCTTTGACTGGGACTTCACATGCATGCATTCAAAACAAGGGTAATTGAATAATGTAACTACTGTAACATGTTCTATATTGATTTAACACTTGCTGCTAACTTGAAATGGAGATGCAGATAGTAGTGAGGAAATCAATAAATCTAGCATAATTATATTTTCTTTGAAATTTTAACAGAAAAAATTAATTAGCCTTATGTGGGATCTCAGAAAAAATTTGCTGATTGCATATAGCTAAACAAAAGAGAAAATAGAAGCATAGATAAAAACAAAAGATGTAAAGAAGCAGTGAATTTAGTATTTTTTTCTTTTTAGTGTGAACTGTCTCAGCCTTCTCTCAGCAGTCATAGAATAGTGTAGCTTGGAATGGACCTTAAAGGTCATCTAGTTCCAACTCCCTGCCATGGGCAGGGCTGCCACCCGCCAGCTCAGGCTGCCCAGGGTCCCAACCAATCTGGCCCATCCCCTCCAGGGATGGGGTACCCACAGCTTCTCTGGGCAGCCTGTGCCAGTGCCTCGCTACACTCTGAGTAAAGAATTTCCTAGCATCTAACCTAAATCTCTGCTCTTATAGTTTAAAGCCATTACCCCTTGTTCTGTCACTCAGACTGTGTAAAATGTCATCTTTGTTGTTAGCTTCCTCAGTACTAGAAGGTTGATGAGGTATTCCTGGAGCCTTTTCTTCAACAATAATCTCAGCTTGGAGGTCCATCTCTCTCAGTCTTTCTTCATTGTGCTCCAGCCCTCTGAATGTGATGCTGTTAAATCTGCTTTGACTAAGGAGCTAGTATCCAGATAGAATATGTGTAAACAGGCTTACTTGTTAAAGGTCTGATTCAAATCCCTTAGATATCAGTGACAGATTTCTCATTAATTTCAGGAGGATTTTGAATAAGTCTCTTGACTTGTGTGAATGTGGGTTAGACAATAATTATTATGGTGTCTGTTAGGAAGAGTTCCAGATGTTCTGCATTCCTAACTTTAGACAGTAACTATTTTTACTTACCTTACTGATGCAAACACAAAGCATGCAAATTCTTTGTTGCTTTACTGACATAAATATTTGTTGTGAATCCCCTTTAAACTCAAATAAACAAAACCTGATATTCAGCTGCTGCTATGGTAAAACACTAGGAAGGTTCGCAAGATACTAGATTTAGTTATTTCCGAGTTTCTTCTATAATATATTACTTTCTCTTGATGGTTGTTTATATAATTATGTTTATTCCCATTAGAAAAAATAATTCATGCTGGCAGGTGGAATCAGATTCACTCCTGAATTCATGTGGATGCATGTCTGAAAAGGAGGTATGTATATCTCTGTGTATGTATTTATGTAAAAAAATTTTGTGTGTTATATGCAATACCTGAACTATTCTTTTTGAAGGGGCAGGGGAATAGCTGAGGAGGTAAAATCTTAGAACGCCGACCTTTTTTTTCCTGATCAGATATTGCTTTATCTCATCTAGTAATTGGCTTATGTATTCTGAGGTATTCAGAGAAAAAGCCTGCACAATTTTGTTACGTATCTAAGTGCGTGTATTTGTGTATAGTAGAAATGTCTGTAGATTGAAATAGCAGGAATCAAAGATAGGTGAACTCTTCTCAGCAGATGCAGCTTGGCTTCAAACATGATATAAGACTTTGCTTACAAAACAGTCATGCAGAATAAAGTTAAAACATTACACTTGATTCCCTGAAAAACTACCTGCTCTAAAATGGAAAGGGCAGATTTTTCTAGCTGTTAGACTCTACCAGGGAATCTGTGATTGACTAGCATTTAATTGTTAGAGTTTATTTTTGTTTTGAACTGTATATGTGAAAATAAAATAGCTTTTCAGGGAAGAATTTTGGAAAAGTTAATGAATTTCTAATCTTTTTCTCTAGTGATTTTTTCAGTTGAATTGTTCTGATACTGAGAAATAAACTGGGATGTGAAACTGTGTATGCACTAAGTTATTTGCCTTGATGGGACCATTTCATCAATTATTTACATCCTTATGAAGGAGATAAATTTATTGGAGAGAGAGTTGCATCTGAAATTTTAGGGAAATTGGAAGGGGGAACTAATTTTTGACTTTACAGGGCAAGGAGCACCTTTTCCTCTAATACTGTAGAACGATACTGAGAATAAAACAAGCTTAAATAAAAAGGTGGGGACTCCGTGTCAGGGAGAGACCCACTAACTGGAACTTCAAAGGTAATTTGTCAGTGGAGGCAGAAATTTTACCTGGAGCTATGGAAAGCTAGAATATCTGGTACTGATTTATAACCATGTAGGGTCAAGATGTCAAATAAGCATGGCAAATTTTCAGATTTTATGTATTATATACTTTATGAGGTTTCTCAAGTATCACATCATAATAACTGTGAGAATATCCAATTGAATTGCTAGAAAACACCTTCCTTTTTTCCCCCACTACTATCCCTCAGTGCATGAATCAGAATTTTTGTTTTCATCCTATATTCTATTTGTGCCTTTTGTGTTTATTTTCAGGCACAAAAGTGAATAGAAGTCTTGTTGTCTTTTTCATTGCTGTAATCCTGTCTAAATTTATATTTAAGTTTTGATGTTTTCAAAACAAAACTGACAGGGTTGCAAGGGAAATCAAAGGTGGTACTCGTATGTAGGTGACAGTTACAATTATTTGAGATGCTTTATAAAAATGAAACCATACATAATTTATTCAAAAGTTATTGAAGCTAAAAAAAGTTAAACTCAGTTGACAAGCAATGCTGCAAAAACAGTGTACAAATTTGGAAAAAAAAAGGCTAAATTTAGTGATGCTGATTTTTAAATGATTTTTTAAAGGCCATTTGAGTTATTTTCTGTATACTGTTTTCCAGATGTGTCCAAGTTTCAATACCTCTGTTCCCTATGTGAAAAATAAGAGAGGACATATTTTATACAATCTCTCAGGGTTGATTGTGGAAGAATATTTAGTGAGGCCTTCCAACAAAGAAAGGTAACCTAATTCTAAAATGACAAAGCAGTTTATCCTTTGTGTATTAAAAAAACAAACAAACAAACAATAGTAATTCTTTCTGATCCAAAGCACAGGACTGTTTAAGGGGGCAGTTGTCTTTATCTATTGTTTTTTGTTAAGGTGAATAGCCTTGTATAAAGGTGACATGGAACTCCCTGTATAGCAGTTTCTCCGAGATTCCTCCAGCAGTTGTCACTGGCTCTTTCCACACAGTAATTTCAGTTGAAAAATAATGTGCTAATTTAAATATTACCACTTTATCATTGCAAAAAATGACTGCTAAGGAAGATGGAGTTTAAGCTAGGTAACTTTCTATCACCTTTTTGTCTGTTACCAGATATGGTGGTTGGTCTTTTGGTGGGAAGAAAGCTTCTGAATATCAAGAACAAAAATGGAGTAATATGAAATATAAGCCTCTGGTTAAGGTAAGGATTGCACATGTGCACACAGATATTCATTTCTTGCTTCTTTAGGGTCCAGACTTCACTGCACTTGGCAAATAATAAATCATTATATAAAATTCTTGTATTTATAAATTGGTCTCTGTCTGTAATTCTTGAAAATTTCCCATGTTCTGAAAAGTGGTTTTAAATGAGTCAAATGATAAGCCTTCTGTTGTTTATCCCATGAACCTATTTCAGAGTCTAACTGAGCTCATCTTTAAAACTATTTTTTTAGGTAGCAAGTGCAAATATCATTTTATATTCATTTGTACTCTGTAAAGTCAATGTCTGTCTGAACCTTTCTTTATTTTTGGCTTAAAGCTTGCTTTCCAAGGCATTTCTTGCAATAAGGCTCTGTCTTATTCAGGAGGCAAGTGGTGGGTGTTGCTGTGTGGCAGTCAACATCACTCTGTGGACAACTTTACATTTGAAAGCATTTCTTTGAAACTGCATTCTGAACAGAGTGTTCAGAAGAACTTACTAGCAGAAGCTCTGGCCTATGACCAAATAACTCCAGTTTGGCATGGGAGACTGGGGAATGATATCATCGTATCCTGTGAAAAACAGGATGCACGTAGGCCCTCCCTGCTCCCTCTCATCTGCTGGCAAGACCTGGAAGTTGGGAACAAAGGAGTTTCTGCTGACCCAAAGCCAGAAGCTGCCACTCCAGAGAGAGCTGACTCAATGATTTTGGATTTGAGCTGTCACTCCAAAGAAAGCTGACTCAACCACTGTGGACTTATTTATAACTTGGTACAGTCGTTGTCATCATCCTCAACTAAACAACAACCTCAAACACTACTGACAATCAAAATCTAAACTATAAGCAGTGCTGGAATTCTGGTGGTGACTGTCTCTCTCTTGCTTCCTATAAGGACTCATTGCTTTTATTTTCTATCTTTTCTATTGCCCATCTTCCCTTCCCCATATCCCTAAACAACTAGGATTTGTAATAAATTGGTCGTGCTACCTTTTGATCCATTATGTCTTAATCTCTCCATCTGGATATGCATATATTAAAATATCCTCTCCCTCCTATAAATTGGAGCGAGACAGTGCCTGAATTGGGGAAGAAAGTATCAACTGAATGTCTCAGAAATTTTTTATTGATCTTGTACCATTTTTGCAATAAATATATTTTTTCTTTGCTACGTTTTTCTCTCTTTTTTCTTTCACATTTTTTTTCCACTCCCACTCTTTGTTTTATAAAAATAAAGATTTAGGTTCTGGGAGTAGTTACTTCTACATAACAAGTGGAAATTAATTTTGCATAACTACCCTGCAACTTCCCATTTTTATCCCAGAGGAACTTGCACCTTGATGAAATTGGTTGAGCTGCGAAATCTGGGTATCCTCTGACAGTGGACTGTACTGTCTTGCAGTTCTGCAGAGAGCTACCCTTGAGAGCCCGGAACAGAAAGATCTTTCTAAACGCAGTTGAAGTCAGGAGCTTTTTCTGGAGGACTTCTTGTATACACTGGAAAGATGTAACTTGGATTGGGATCCAGAGGCCAATGGGGAATTTTCAGAACAAAATATTTTTTTTCCTCTTGGGAATGTTTTGCGACGTTCTTTTGAGGACCACTCTAATGTAAGACCAGTAAGGAGGAGAACAGTTTCGAAGAATCTTAGTAACCTCTTTTTATGCAAGGAGAAGATTTCTTATTAGAGGAAGCTGTGAAACTTAACTTTCTGGATTCCAAATTGGAGTATGAGAGAAAGATCTTTGTCTTGAAAATGTTTTGGTCTTGCCACTAGATGCAATTTTCTCTTACAAATGAAGAAGAAAAACAAAAGCGTAGTTAAGCTCTATCTCAAATTCCCTTTTGCTACAAAGTGCAGTTAAAACAGTATGTAGTGACTGCAATGCCCTTTCATTGTACTTTTGTTTGAAAATATTAAATATAAACACTCTGCCTTATAAATATTTTCATTTAGGTCATTTGTAATCTCTTTTACCTCCAGATTTCTTATACCTATGAACTCCAGTTCCATAAATCCTTACTTAGTAATTTGAAGTAAGATGTGTTCTTCTGACTGCTGTTTTCATCCTCTGTATCTTCATAGCTTTAAAACTACTGTTTTGACATACAAGCACTGTGGTTTTTGTCAGGCTCCTTTATTTATTTATTTATTTATTTATTCATTCATTCATTCATTCATTCATTCAATGTCTTATGCATAAAGCTCCACCTGGTATTGACAAAAGAATAAATTACAATTCTATGTTTGTGAGTAAGCTTCATATTTCAAAGCCAAAGAAAATATTGGAGTGGATTTATAAAGGGCACTGTGTTATCTAAAATACCTCCTGGAAGTGGCTTTCAAGTGATACAGTGTCAAATTATTGAATTAACCTTTCAATAATTAATGGCCAGACTTTTACTTTGACCTTTCAGGCTTGTTCATGAGACAGTGAATGTACCATTTACATAGCTTCATATGAAATAAAATGAGAAATTTGCATTTGAAGAGACTTACTGTTTGTTTCTTTTCATTTTAGAAAACTTTGGAATCTTTCTGTTATTCCCCATTCCATTAGTCAACTTATTTTTCCTGTTCAAATTAAAAATACCTATTCAAATTCTGAAATAATTTTTACCAACAGCGAATGTGTATGTGTTCAGAGATAACATGGAAAAATAACATGGTGACCTGCAAACAGTCTAGGAGACTCCTAGAGTCCATTGGTGACTACTTTCTGGTTCAGGTACTGAACATGCCTGGACCACAAGTGAAGCATTGCTGGACCTGTTACAGTTTGACAGCATGGTATAGGGTAGGGAGGGAACTAAATGGGAGGACTTGAGCGTTTCAGACCTTGCCTCATAGCTGAATACAGAGGGGAGATCCAAGCAAGTAGATAGTAAGGAAAATTAATTCAGAAGGAAAGAACTATTAGGAGAGAGAAATAGAACTGAAGGGTAGATAGCCTGCACTAGGAAGCATGGAGAAGAACATGGCAGAAAAGCCAAAGTCTGGATCCTAGTGTCCAGGTAAGGATTGTGATGGATTCTAGAAGGGAAAAATACACTATTATCTGCAACTAATTTGGGGGAAAGAAAAAATTAAAATAAAAAAGGCAGATATATGTGGAAGAGGACTAGATAAAAACAGCATCTTGAGTAATGAAAAAGTATTATTCATGGAAGTTTCCAAGACATAACTGTAATTTCAGAACAGGTTTAGGAAAAATGAAATCTTGGAAGGTGAAGTTAAGGCAAGAGAGACCTACATTAAAAAACATGCACTTTGACATACAACTCATAGTCCAGAGACAAAGTGAGAACCGCCAAGTGACAACCTGAGATGAACAAAATGCATATTAGCAAATAATTGATAGCAAATAGAAAAAGGATAAGAGTTTGTCAACTGCATAAAAAAAAAGGGAGATGAAAGCTTGATATCCAGTGAGGAATGGACAGTAATTGAAGATGATTTTAAATGTGCTTCCAAAACTGAGAACAAACATGCTTTGTTTTCTCTGATCTAGTTTTTGGTATGGATAATGTAGGATTAAAGGCACTTTGATTAACAGTTAAGGAGGCATAGAAATGAAATTGATTTCCAAAGGAAAAGGAAAATTTAGACCTCCACGTACTCAGTTTTGGGACATAATTAGCCTATCGGCATTGATTCTTGCACATGGAATCCTAGGAGAATATGCATTTTGAGTATATTAATCAAGTTGGGTCAGTTCTGTCTGATTTAAAGATAAAGTGTATGTTACATCAAAAATGCTTCCCTATGGTCCTCAGACTCAAATCGCAGGTGTTACTTTGATAAGTCTTTTTGGAATGTCAATAATTAACATGCTTCACTTACAACACTATTTCTCTTCATCTTTTCTGTTTTTGTTTAAATTGGAATATATTGCTTTTACATTGCAATCCTGTATTATTTGCTCAACCAAACGTTTGTGAAGTAAAAAAGTGTTTCATTAAACCAGAGAATCTCAGTTAATTATTCTGTTTGCAATTTCAACAGTAGTAAACAACCTGCTGCATTGTGTTGAAAGACCGGTACAAATAAAGCAATTCTGTTCTGCCTAGGCCATCTTCTTCTGTAAATAAATGCATTAAAAGGAGAATTCATCTTCAATATCTTCATGCAATTCTTTAAATTACGGGTGTTTTCAGATCAGTGTTCAGACTCTTTTGATTTTTGATTCACAATTTCCATTCTCTCTTTCAGGTGTGGTATAACCAAAAAGGTTTCCATTCACTGCCATCCTACCTAAATGAACTCAATAACTTCATTCTGTGGCTGAATTTGCCCCCAGCTGTGGATTGGAGACAGTATGGTAATATTTCTTCAATTGTCTGTTAATATCTGTTATGGTTTTATGATTTTTGTTATCAGTATTCCACATCATAACATCATGTAGTATATTGGCAGTTGAAGAGTTAATGCTGCATTTCCATGGATTGTCAATAATTCAAGGTACCTGGTTCTCAGAAAGAGCCAACTACGGATCCCAGAAGACTTCACTGTACTGTCTCTGTTTTCCATTCAAAGGGAAAGACAAAATTGTTTGGGGGTCATGAGGCTACCCCTTCTTTTTCCACTCATTTCTGTGGTGTGTGCTCCTTAGCTTTCTCGCCTTCAGCATTAGAGTAAGGCCTTTTGAACAATCTCTCTCTCATTTTATTTATTAGCTTCAATTTCACCTTTATTGTATTACATGGTGTTATCTCACATTCCACTGTCGTATATATAGTAAATTATTTTCCTCTGTTAGCTCACTGCCACTGTTTTGTTTTTAGGCACATCTCTCTACCTTTTATCTTTTTCTCCCTTCCTCATCTCCTGCTGCTTGGGTCCATGGGTCTCCCTAACCTGTTATTCATAGAACCAGGCTGAACCAGGCCAGTTGACAATATCTTTTGAAAAAATAATTTTTAAATAAAATAAGTTTCAGTATGAAGGATTGACATGGTATCAAGTCAGATTCCAGAGTGACAGGCTTCATAGGATATTTTGGAAATGAAATAGCATGTTTATCTGTGTGAAGAATGTTGTGTGCAAGGAGGTAACATTTGAATTGTACTGTCTCATCCATACACATTTTTTAAGGATATTCCTATGGACTAAGTGTAAATTGGCTTGCTATAATAGGGATGCTTATTCTCTGGGAAAATAGGGCTTGCTTAAACAGAATGTTTAATGTGCAAGAACATGAATTTATAACTTATTTATTAATTTAATTTTATTAAGTGAATACTTAAAGTAAACCCAGTGCATCTACTGAATTCACACTGTAGTGTAACGTAGTGAATTCTTAGTACGTTGAAATCTGAGTTTGTTAGTTCAGACTAAATGTTGTTCATTCTGGTTCCTTTCATTAGCAGAGGTTCTGCTAACGAGGAATTAATTTGAAAAATAGCTTATGAACACTTTTTAAGTGTACAAATCTGAAATGATGCTCAGAGCTTCCATTGCTTTTTTCTAATATTCCTAAAGCATCTTTCTTTTCTTTCTTACTGACTTTTCCTCGAGGAGGCAGTATTATTTTTCATATCTGGCATTCATGTTGATGTGTGTATTTCACTTTTCATATGAAAATAAAGGAATTTTATTTTTTAAGTTCAATTTGGAGACTTTCAAGCTGGGTTTCTGTCCTTTTTAAGTGGAGGAGAAAAGAGGGGAAGATTTCTGTATTGGTTTGATTCTTTGTGACTTCATATTTGTAATAAAGAAAGAAGAGGAAAATTAGTGAAAAGGAAAGGGGATCTTGGGTGGTATAAAATAGAAATTCATTAGGAAATGTTTTCAAAATGGCAGGTGAAAAAAAAAGTTAGCTTTAAGGATGGCTGGAGTTTTATTTTTTTCTAAATGGATTATGAGGAAAATAAAAAAAAGGCCAATATATTTCTGAAGAAAGTTTAGGTTTAGGTGAAATAAAGTATTTTAATGAGAACTTTTAATGAAAAATAATTTTTAATCAAGTTATCCTGCACTTTATAAATACTGTTGAAACTGATTTGTTTTCTGTAGCAGTACACATCGCATTTGGTAACTTAAACATATAAGTACCCTTACTTTTGTATCTGTTTGTGGAGATTAAAGTTTATTAAAAACTACTCTGAAGGAACTTGTTAGGATGCTGCAGATGTGCAGCTGTATAATACTGACTTGCACTGATGACATATTTTTTCATAGAGTAGCTTCTTCCTGTCAACAGAGCCAGTGCTTACTTGTAAGCGACATAAAAATTATTTGATCCTTGAAAAGAGAGTTTGAGGACACAGTCTTTACTTCTTTCAACAAAAGATTTCTTGCTTTGCTGCAAAAATGACTTCAGTAGGATAGGTCATTACAATGCATGCAGGGAGCAGAAACTGCTATGATACTGAAACAACCTTGAACATCCTTGACATTCTTTTAATATGCATACTTCAGCCATTGAGAAAGCCTAGAAAAACTTTCTGGTAATGAAACTCTTTTCTACCATGTGGCTTTTCCTTTATACAAATGGAATTTCACCCAGTGCTTGTATCCAGTGGAAAAAGCAGTTTTCTATATCTCTGTCAGGTTTTACATCACAACAAATAGCAGCTATTAATTAAGAAATCAGTGGTATAAAACAAACTAAAATTTTGAACAGGTAAAAGACATGAAAGACGTCTACATTTAGCACCTTCATTTATTAGCAGTGAATCAAAACTGTGTTAGCCTGATTTTGAGGCCATTTGGGCCTAATTGCACAGCTTTTACTTGTATCTGAAAACTCTTCATCTTGCAGTAGTTACATATGTGAATTAATCATCATTCTATGTGATTTAAACATCACAGTATCTTAGTGATCTTTTAACTATGTTGTCTTTAAAATGAGGAATGAAAAGTTAATGGGGCAAAAAATAAAAGCATTTATGTACTTAATCAGATTGCACCTATTACTGAAATTGAGACAACCTTTATATTTATACAACTTGATGCTAACAAAATATGACAAAGTGTATTCAAATAAGTGGCAATGCATAGATTTCATCTGAGACAACCACTCATTTATTTCCTTGCCAAAGATATTATAGTTATGTTAGGATAGATTTCTTTTTTTATAATTGAGAACATGCCAAATTTATTTTGAAGACATCTTCATCCAATATTTTTTAAGAATTTCTGGTTTTATTTATAGTACAGCAGTCTCATTTGCAGTACAGATCCTACAGCAAAACATGACACTGTTGAACCTACTTCTGCAGTTCAGAGTGCAGAAAAGCAACTAGTACTAATGTTTATTTATTAGATCCAGACTCTGGATATTACTCAATGGGATACAGTATTTGGTTTGACAGTTTGGTGATTGAGCTCTTTCTGTTGTTAATTAAGTATTTAGCCTTTTCATTCATCTCTTATAATGAGATTTCATAGAGAAAAGAGTCCCTTATAGGTGCAAACAGTGATCTCTTGCTAATGATGGGAATAAGGTAGATGAGGCCAGTGTTCAAGACACTGATTCAGCTCAAAACTAGTAAAAATTTCCCCCAACCTCTTCCAACATTACTCATTATGGCACAGACAAGAGATGTACAATCAAATAGAAACTAATATTTTAGTTTATGAATCTGAAATACAACTGAAAAGAGAGCTGTTTGATATTATTTAAGAATGTAACATTTTAACTCTTTTTGTCAAGAGCCTGGTTAGTTTCCAGCATTAGTTCAGTTTATTTTTCTTTAGTAAAAATGTTTTAGACGTTCTACTCTTTTGCTTTAGAAATGATATTTTGGTTAAGCTGGGGAATAGAAAAAAAAATAAATTTCACAATATTTTGAGACAATTTATTTTAATGTTCTTATATTGAAAATTATCATTTTTACAGCAAAAGGAATAAAAGAGAAGCAAATAGATTGTAGTAAGATTTTACAGCTGTCCTAAATATTCAGGTGACAGTTTATCAGAAAATAGAACAAGGATTAGTGAGGGAGAGCAACTAAGTTTTACGTCAGTCATAATTATGTTGATGTCTTTTCTGGATTACATACAGCAAATCTTCAATTTAATTTATAAGCTCAATTTTGTGTTTTAAACAGTTTAGAATCACAGAGAGATGAAAATTCCCACTGTTATCGAGTAAAGCGTAAGAAAAGGATACTTGCAAAATATGTCTTTGTATTTTTGTAATTTGTAAATAAAGGAGAGGTAATGCAGAACTGAATCCTGGTTCCAGACAGTGAAATTGTAAGTTGCAGGTCCAGAATCTGTTCAGTTCACCATGATAATCAAAGAGAGGTAGCAGAAAATGTAGCAAGTACATTTTGCTGCTTTGAAGCCACCTTTCTTCTAAGGACAGTGAAGATTTTGCAAGGTAAGAGTTTAAATGCACGATCAACCACCTTAGTCAAAGTGTGATGGCTGCAGTTCACTTTCTTTCAGTTCTTTGTCCCGTTCCTCATTTCATCCTGTTTTGCTTCTTTCTTTTTCTTTCAATACAGGTTTTCGTAAGTTTTGTTTCTACTTTGATGCTTCGCCTGAATTGTTTCAGAACTGCTTGTATCGCTGGAAATTGAAAAGGAAATGAACTGTTGTGAATTTCCAAATGCTGTATACTCTAGAACTTAGTCTTCATGAAGCATTTATTTTTCATAATTTTTCTTCTTTCAGGGATCACACTCTACAGTCAACCATACGGAGGAGCCTTGCTGGATGAGGACAAAATGTGAGCAAACTCTTAAAAAAATACATAACTGCTGCAATGAATACAGAACTGAAGCTGTTAATTTAATAAGCTTATTTGTTGCATGAAATAGGTATAACCTGATGGATTCAACTCAGTTCTACTGAGTCAAGCATTTTCTCTAGTTTTCTATTTATACGTTGTCCACTGTTTGCATCAAATAAGGGTGCATTGCTTTCTAGAGAAAAATATTGTATTTACCCTGACTGCAGTTTTGAGTGTATTCTGACATTCTCAGACAGGTTAAGTAAACTATTGTTCCTAATTTTAATGCTCTGTAAAGGTTGAAATATTTGCAAAAGCTCCACTTTATTACTGAAACATTTAAACACAGGCTGTGTTCTGTGACTCATGTATAGTTTTGTAACTCAGCCTGTGTGTAACTGAGCCTGTTCTTTAATGAGATGTTGACAATGTAGAAACGTGGTCTTTGCAAACAGGATTAAGGTTCTAATGTGAAGTGTTGTTTTGGTAGAGTTGGATTTGAAAATGATGGTTTTTTTTGCACTGTATTTTCATCAAACCATTGTGTTTTGTATCCTAGAATGGAAAATATTCGTCAGTGTGGGGTAGCACTCTGTATCATGCTGGGTTTCTCCATCCTCACCGCATCTATTGGCAGTGCCATAGTGAAAGACAGAGTATCTGGTACAAAACGCTTGCAACATATCACCGGCCTGGGTTACAAAACATACTGGCTTGCTAATTTCTGCTGTGATATGGTATGTATCCTGTAGGGGGAGGCATGTGCTTCGCTGTAAATTTTTAATTAGTTTGATATAAATGAGCAAAATTATGTCCATAAGATACATGAAAACAATTTGAATTGTGTAGAGCAACAACTTTTGGCTATCATGTTTAATATTGTGACACTGATGCTACTTCAGTACTGAGATAAAATTCTGTAAACCAGAGATTGCGTTATTCATTTTCCAAAGAGGAATTGTAAGGACCTGAAGTGTATGCTAGCTTTAGGCACCTGTACTGTTTCACAAATAAATGGATACAAGCTAATCAACCCAGACAGAGAGTATCTTCCACACAGCGGTTCATGGCAGGAGTTATTCTACTTTCAGTGCTTTGAGTTGCCACTGGCAAAAACCTTCAGAATATGGGAGAAGCCTGGAAATAATAGCCAGCCACATTAAAGGCTTAATTATGTTGTATGTTGGCAGATAATAAGAGCAGTATTCCCTCCTGATATCTTCTGTTTCTTGCAGGATAGACAGTAGAAGGTCTTATAAATGAATTCACTTTCACAGAGTGGTCTAGAGCAGAAATGGACAATTCTTTGTCCTGTAAATTTATTTTTCTCAAAGTATTTTCTATCTTTTTTTTTTTTTTACATTAGACACAGTGTTGTTTGTATGTGGATTATTAACAAACAGGAAAAACTCAAAATATTCTCTTTTAAAATACAAAGTTTACCCACCTAACCAAATGTAAAGATAGAAATGCTACTAATATCTGATTAACATTAATAATCAGATTAATGCCAACAAAGTTAAATAAAGTAGGAGTTTTTATGTACGTTCTTTAAGATTTTTCAGACCAATGAACAAAGGTGGTGAAATAGAACTAATGAACTTGTAGGTCCTAGTCACTGACTTCAACTATATAATGAAAGTCCTCTGGTTTCCCTTTGAGCACAGTTTCCACAAATGTTCTTCAAATATCTGTTTTTGAAAATGGCTCTTTAAAAAACAAAAGAAAAATATTCTCCATTTGTATGTATATATGTGTGTGTGTGTATGTGTATATATACACCACTAAAAGGCTGTTTCATAGTTCATCTGTAATAAAGCCTTGCTATAGTACCAGCTGAGTGTTGGGAAGGGATTTGGGATTAAGACATCTACTTATGTGAAAACTCCTGCTTCTAGAGAACTCAGGTGCTGCATGTTTATTGCTCATTTAGTAAATGTTTTTAGAAGAAAACTTTGAATGAGAAGATGTTTTGACTTAGGAGAGTTTTTTCAGAGGCAATAATGAGTAATTGGAATCATCTGGATTATTCAAAAGTAATGCAAAGATTCATGCCTCTAGAGGAGGGATAGAAATCTGCTACAGTTTGTTCAACCCACTAGAAGATCATGGAAGGAAGGTCTGGGGTTTAGCATAGGCAGCGCAAACATGAACTGGCCTTCTCAAGAACAAAGATTTTTTAGAATGCTCTTCATTGTCATTCAAACTTTTATAATTCTGAAACATTAGAGATTCACCCATCCATGCTTGAAATCGGGGTTTTCTCACTTGAGCAAGCGTGAAGTAAGAGCACATTTATCCAAAAGTTATTTACATGGTCAGTCAAACTTTGTATTCACTTTTCTGCCATGTCAGGTAAGAAGGCTTGGTTGAAAACTTGTTTCTTCATCATTCAGTTTCTCCTTGTGCAGCGAAGTCAGCTCCTTGTTATTTTCTGCCAACCTTTTCCTTTCAGAATGTTCTCACAAATTCAGCATTGTACTGCATGATCAATCATGATCTGGGAAAGAATGCACACTACTTTAAATGCTAATTGCGCTGCAGATCATCTAGGGACACTGAGCACCTGAATGTATGAACTGTCAAATCTGAAATCTCTCTACACATTTTAAGCATTTCAGACTCTGTCCTGCATTATTGGTAGCACAATCTTTACTAGACCTGCAGAGGTGTTTGATTTATGAAACTGCTGTCATTAGCTTGTTCCTAATATATTTATGCACAAGAGTAGTATTCATTAGAGTGTTCAACAAATAGGTGAAGTTTAAGTGCTTGAAAAATTACATGACAGATTGCAATGTTTTGTTAAGATTGTTTCACTAGAGAGGCAAAATACAGGAAATATTTTTGTAATATAATTGAACATTAAAAGTGTTTTTCCAGAAAAAGTAATCAAATATATTTATCAATTGAAATATTTTAGTCTCAGATGCTTTGTGACTTCTATGACATGTTTCTTAAATGGCTCCAGAATAACTGACTCTCAAATCTGTGGAGTAGTATTGTACAGTATTTATGTGTGCCACTGGTGGTGCCATAAAATAGACTGTGAACAAGATGAAAACATTGCTCAATTATCCTGCCTTTAAAAATGTCTGTCTTCCCAACAAGAAAGAAATGATGCCCTCTGGTTTCAGTGTGGACTGATTTGCATTGTGTTTCAGTATGAATGTCTCTTTTTAAATTAAGGATATTGTGCAACACCAAGTATCTAGCTAGAATAATCATCAGTTGCTTTTAATGCAGTTTCATCTCAGAATCTAAGCTATGTAGGCTTCTCCAAAAGCTATGTCTTCTCTTTATTTCCATGGAAACTACAAGAGATTAACACAGAGCACAACA